ACCTAACCCTAACTTTAATAATTTTATTGTTTTGTTTAACCTACTCTGCTTTAGATATCTTCTCAAATAGTGAGTATGAAGTTTAATTCTATTTACTTTAATATTTGTATTTTAAGAAAATGTATGATTAACTGTAATTATTTAATTATTCAATAAATTACCAAAGTAAATATGAAGTTTAATTCTGTTTACTTTAATATTTGTGTTTTAAGAGAATATATAAGTAACTGTAATTATTTAATCATTCAATAAATTACTAGCATGAGTATGAAGTTTAATTTTGTTCACTTTAACATTTGTGTTTCAAGAACATGTATGATTGATTGTAATTATTTAATCATTTAATAAATTACTAGAATGAGTATAAAGTTTAATTCTGTTCACTTACATTTGTGTTTCAAAAGAATGTATGATTAACTGTAATCATTTAATCATTCAATAAATTACTAACATGAGTATAAAATTTAATTCTGTTCATTTAAATATTTGTGTTCCAAGAGAATGCATAATTAAATTACCAAAATAAGTATGAAGTTTAATTCTGTTCACTTTAACCTTTGTGTTTCAAGAGAATGTATGATTAACTGTAATTATTTAATCATTCAATAAATTACCAGTGTAAGTATGAAGTTTAATTCTGTTTACTTTAACGTTTGTGTTTCAAGAGAATGCGTGAGTAACTGTAATCATTTAATCATTCAATAAATTACTAGCGTGAGTATAAAATTTAATTCTGTTCACTTTAATGTTTGTGTTTCAAGAGAATGTATGATTAACTATAATTAGTGATGGGAAAATACGCGTTTTATAATACAAGCGGGCGACAAAGTCACCCGCTATATATAAAATTACTAGTTACTATTAAGTTACAATATTATGAAAAATAAGATAACAGAATATGTATCTAGTTGGCCGGAGCGTAGCGGAGGACCCTAAGTGTCTACATCAAGTGATACAAATATTACGTTATTGATGCATTTCAACCATAAAAAATGAATTTGGTATTTTAGTGTAACAGAACATGCATATTTACGCGTCTGTGTAATAGAATAATTATCATGTGCTAAGCTTTGAACAAATTTAACCTAGTTATACGTACAAATAAATAAATTCTAAATACTGAAATATTGAGAACTTCTTTTCAATCTCATTTTCTTAAAATCGTTGATCTTAAAAAAAAAAAAAGCATGCTTAAAAAAATTGCCAAATTTTTGTTCTTCCTGATATGTTTATTCCCTATCGTATCAGCAAGATTACCAATTTCTGATATGTTTAATTTTCAATTAGTGAATTACATTCCCTACGTAGTTATCACTGGAATTCTTATAATAATGTTTATTCCAATACATAAGCAACTCAAAAAGCTAAGAATGATAATCTATTCAGTGCTAGTAATATTTGAAATATTAATTTTTCCACCTTTATTCTTCTATATAATGCAAGGCCTCAGTATGTCTGTAATAGTTCTTATATCCTTCAATTGTTCAATTATAGTATCTATTATAATATTAAAGCTAATTTACATATGCACAAAAAATGAAGATTTAACATATAAAGTCACTGTATTCTTAAAAATCCTCATATTATGTATTTTTCTGCCTTTATTTTCATATGCAATATATGGTCTCAGCAAATTGACAATAATTATGGCAGTTTTTATTTGGGCAATATTGGCATCTATTATAGCACCATGGCTTATTTTTTTAATATATGGGCCGGAAATAGCATCTGTTGTAATACCAATACTCATGTCAATACTTATTGGATTAACATTTATGATTTTTCCACCTTTATTCTTATATGCAACAGAAAGTTTTAATAGCGTGACAATAACTTTTTTAATTTTATATGGAGGTTTTATTTTATTTTCTATAATAGCATATATTACCTTTTTTAGATGCTCTACCTTGTATATATTTTTTATGGTAATATCTTGTTTAATAGGCTTGGCAATTAATGTTTATGGTTTAATAATTGTGATCAAGTTTGTAGATAATTCTATAGTTATAATTGTTAATTTGGTTGTAGGATGTTGTATTTCTAGTTTAAAAGGCACTAAAATAGAATTTATGATAGCCAATATTTTATGGGGATTTGATTATTATATAATATTTTATAATTTACAAGACAAAGTTAATCCAATTTCTCTTTTACTTTTCTGGGTAGATTTATGGACTATATCTGTTTCTATTTATATTGCCTTTGAAAAGTTATTAAATGGTGAAAAAATTGAAGAGCAAGGAATGCCAGAATTTGATATTGAAAATTACAGGAGGGTGTAGACAACGTCCTTCTCAACTTATGAGTGATTGGATTTGGATTGGGTTATCTGGATTAGTTTTTACTTATTATTATAATATTTCTGTATTCTAATATTACCTTGGGTACGAAGATTCTACTTATAATAATAAAATCCTAAAGTTACCAAAATTTACTAATAATTTAGATAGTTAGTTGTGCTAATAAGCTAATAATGTAATAATTTTGCAATACTGTAAATTAGTGAAATTGTTAATTTATTATATTGCTTATATTCAGCCAATTTTTGTAAATTTTAAATTTTTCAAAGAAAATTTTAGAACTATATTTTTTATTCACTTTTAAATTATTTTTAGAGGTTGAATTTGTCAATATTCAGCCGACAAGTATAGACGTATAAATACTATATCAAGTGATTAATAATCATGTATTTCAATTATTTCAATTTGAAATAATTTCAAATACTTCAAATTGGTCAATGTCAAAGAAACCGGGTGAATCTCTAATCGGATCTTTATAATGTTTTTTTATGCATGACCATTTTTCACGTATAAAACTATTGGAGATTAAAGAAAGATCACTGCCACCAAAAGATGGTCTACCCTCCCCATCGTAAAAAATTGCCTTACTTGGTTTAATAACTCGACTAAATTTAGATCTTCTTCCTTCCTTTAAGGAAAAAATAAAACTTTCAGTTGTTTTTGCAAATTTTCCATATTTATTTTTTTCCCATTCGAGAGGATTATATCCACCAAGAATTTCACCTGTTCCTTTAACCTTCAAAACCACGACCGTTTTCGATTTATCGTTACATTTTTCATAAATAGTAGACCCCGTTGAAATCTTTACAAATTTATATGGAATATTATTTACATCATATGGTCTAAAATCAATTTGTGAGGCAATTTCTACAGCATGTTCTGTATTAATAATTAAAGAATTAAGTTCAAATACTAAGGAATTTGCAAAAATTTTCAATTCTCTTAATGCATCTTTTAATTTTAATCGTTTTTCAGGGTCTTGATGCCAACATTTTTGATAAATTTCAACATATTTACTAGGAGTCTCAGTTTCATCCTTTTCTCTTTCATTCTTAAGTACTTTTTTAATAATTTCAAAGTTACTAATTCCCTCAAATGGAGGCTTTCCGCTAGAAATTTCCCAAAGAAGTACTCCAAAGCTATAGATATCTGATTTTTTATTAAGTTCGAATGTTGGATTTTCAAGAATTTTGGGTTCCATATACGCACACATTCCATTAACATCTGATTTTTGTGATTTGATTACAGGTTTCCTTATATTTTTAGCTAATCCAAAGTCTGCAATTAATGCATGTCCTCGGTGAATTAGAATGTTTTTTGAGTGCTAATTGTAATCATCATTTAAATAATTGACATAAATTTCAATATTATAACAATTATAATAATGTTAAAAATACTTACAAGATCTCTATGAATAATTTTATGAGCATGTAAAACATTTAATCCTTGGGCTATTTCCGTTGCAATGGATATTTTTTTAGACCAATTTAAACTCGAAAACTTTGCTTTCAAATAATCTCGCAAGTTACCGTTATCAGCATATAATAAAATCATATTATAATATCCTTCGCTATCTATTTTTAGAATAAATATAAAACTTTCGTATTATTACAATTGTATTTTTTTGATTACCTGCGATTTTGGGTCAATACCTTTAGTTATCCCATAGAAGTTGACAATATTCGGAAACCTGCTAACTTTTTGCAAATGTCGAAGCTACAAAGTTTAAAGAGTTACAATTCAAAATTAGGTTTAGGAAAAATTTTAATGAAATTTCAATTACAAAGTTAACATACCTCTTCAACTAACTTTTTGATCCATTCATTTTCCAGATCATCAACATTTTTTTAGACATTTAAGCGCGACCTTTAAATCAAACTCTTCCCAATCAGCTGTCGATATTATCCCAAATCTGCCATAATCAAACATCTTTGGATTTTTAAAATTATTGTAGTCATATTTATTAATATGATCATTACTAACAGCATCTCCAAGCCATGAGTCTAGTTTAATTAATGATCCGGAGTCTAGTTTATTTGAAGATGACTCATAATAGTTCATTATAGAATATGACGATTTACTGTATTTTATCAAGCTTAAGTATTAATATGATCGTGCTATGCATGTTTTATTTTTCTGTATCAACGAGGTGGTTAAATAATTGGTTAAAAAAAGAAGAACTAAAAAACAACAAAACGTAACAATGATATTGATGTAATACAAATTTTATTACCGTAGTAACTTGAAATAAAGTTAGTACGTAATTTATAATTCTCATTTTATTATGTTCACAAAATTGTAAAACGTATCTATGTTTAACTACAATAGATATGATGTACATAAAACTTGAAAAATAAAATTTCATGTATTAGAAATTTTTTGGCTTTAGGATGTTCTATTGAATAGGTTGGCAAACTCCGATAAACTCCGCTGAATATATTAAAAAATTAACGTTTACTAATCATTAACGAAGCTTATTTCTTATATTGCCCGCCTATTCTATAGAACATCCAATTATTCTAAATGGGTTCTATCGTTTCTCCAACAATTTTTTCACCGTGAATAAGGTTCTAAATCAGGGAAATGATAAATTCGATTTTAACATTTCATTTTAGTATTGCATTTATTTTAGATATAAATCTTTGTTTCGCATAGTACTATGAAAATACTGTATATCCAATACTAATTTTTAGCTCGAACACGTTCGTGACCAAATAAAGAATGACATTAACACAATATTTTAAGAAACATTCTTTTTTAGTAGTACTATA